TAGCATATACGATAAGTTGTAGATACGGTAAATTGCCAGCATATACGGTAAGCTGCAAATACGGTATGCAGCATATATGGTAAGCTGCAATTATGATAGACATCATATACGGTATTGAAATTTATTGTAGTGGACGAAATCAGATTCATTCATACCATATATGCACTTTACATACCGTATATATAGCATACCATATTTACGCATACCGTATTTTCAACCTACCGTATATGCAACATACCGTATTTACAGCATAATGTATTTACATCATACCGTATTTATAGCATATCTTATTTGCATCATATCGTATTTACAGTATATCGTATTTATATCATACCATATATACAGGATACCGTATTTGCATCATACCGTATTTACACATATTGTCTTTAAATACCGTATTTGGCAGATATTAATTTTTGTAATTCAATATTTTTTTTTTATAATTGTATTTTCGGGAATTAAACAAAAGGTGATTATGAAATTGCTAATTTTTAAATGTATTTTTGTTGAAGATAAAAATGATTTTTTTATGCTATTTGTAAAAAAAAAAAAAATTATTGTAATTTTATTAGCCTAATAAGAAGATTTATTATGATTATTTAAATTTTTTTTAACACAACACAATAAATTCATACTTTTAGTCTGGTGATTGCAAAAGTCTTTTATGTATCAATAAAACATTTTCCATTCAAAGAATAATGCCAAATTTTTTGGCATCATGCTTTCATTTTCTTCCTTTCACAAGTTTTACTTTTTTCCTTTTTTTTCTTCATTTTTTTAGATTCTTTTGTAGTTAACAATGATTATTTCTTTGAGAATTTTTTTTTTTTGTATTATATTGAAGTTAAACTTTTTCTTGTAATTATATTTTTTTATTAGATTTAATGCATAATTTTAACTAATAAAATAACAAACTAAACAAATATTAGGTTGCATGATTAAATTTAAAAAATAAATTAAAAAGTCGTTGCATGACCGCATAGATTGTATTATAGCATATACGGTAAGCTATATGTTGTGATTTGCATATTATTGTAATATAACGAAAAAAAAAATTACAATAATAATTTCTCATTATATTATGTTGTACATTGTATTATAGCATATACGTATAATATGTTATATCTTAATTATAACATATAATATTACAGCATAAAATATTTGCACTTATTGTTTTTAGACCAATCAATAACATTTGTTATAAATAAATCCAAATCCCATGTAATGCAGATTTAATTAATATTAATTTGCACAATTGTATTCTAATAGAGACATTGCAGTGGTTTAATTTGCTCTAGAATGACTTCAAAGCTATTTTGCACCGACATAAGAAATTTCAAATGTATACATGTGCCACTACATAATTAGTCCATTTATTCTGAAAAGGGGAAATAGAGTAATGAAGCAAAACAAGAAGATGGGACAAGAAAGTCGCAGTCTGCGTAAATGAGTGAATTCATTCTCTTTTTATAAGTTATTCACTTTTCACCCTCTCTCAATAGTTGAACCAATTTCATTCTTTCTCTTATTATTGAGCCCATTCATTACTCTCTGTCAATTTCATTTCTCTTGACGAGTCAATCTATAAACAAGTACCATAAAAGGCTGATATGTTTAAGAAAATAAAATCGGCCAAATTCAAAGAGCTCTTCATATGGATCCTTAAAACTAACATGCAAATTGCTATTTACAATGCTACGAAATTTAAAAAAAAAAATCTTATCGTTAAGAAGGGAGAAAAAATGAAAAATCATTTCTTGCATTTTGATCAATTAAAAGCCAAACATTATGAACAGTAGCCTTCTCCTCTCTCTTAAGCATTTCATCAAATATTAATCTAGCTCCATTCACCCTTCTGAAGCAACATTTTGATCATAATATGTAATGAAACCAAGGAAACTCAAAACATATAGAGGGAAACACTTGCCAAATGATTTTTGCCAAAGAATATGAACCAATAATATGCAATCAAACTAAAAACATAATCGAGTAGAATGTCCATAAATATCATACCGAAAATTTAAAATAATTAACAAGAACTTTAAATTCATCTCAAAAATGCTATGAAATGGATTCACCAAAAGAAAGTCAAAATCACAACAAAAGCACAGCTAATTATTTTCTTAGAAAGTATTGCCTGATCTGGGTAAATTGAAGTTAATTTGGTAAATTTATTTTTGTTGGAATACCGAATATTTAGTTTTGCTAATTTTACACTTCGTGGGAGCAAAGTACGGAGTTGCTCCCACAAAGTGCGGAGTTACTCCGCACAAAGTGTGCGGAGTTATAGACAACTCTGCACTGTGCGGAGAGATCAAGTGATCTCTTCGAATTGTGCGGAGATATTTTCTTTTTCTTTTTTTTTGTTAAGTTATTTTCTTGTTTGTTTATTATGTAGGAATGTATACATATATATTATATACCAAAGGTAAAGTAGAAAAATAAAAAAAAATCAAATAGTTTAAATTTAATAAAATCAAAGAGAATAAAAAAGAAAGAGAAATGGGGAAAAAAATCGTAGCTCAGTGCCTACGGAGCATCTGAAGAATTTGAAGATACCTCGACATTGGTGAAAAACTATGGTAATCTAAAAAAAAAAAAAAAAACCAAATAGATAAAATGAAAAAAAAATCAAGAGCGGAGAGTTTCTCCAGAGAGTTGGGAGAAACACCTCCAAACTCTCTGTATTGTGTGGAGAGAGCTGATCTCTCCGAACAATTTGGAGAGATCAATTGATTTCTCCGCATTGTGCGAAGAGATCTTTTTTTTTTTTTTTTTTTTTTGTTAAGCTATTTTATTTGTTTCTTATCAAAGGTAAACTAAAAAAATAAAAATAAAATATTTTAAATTTAAAAAAAAACCAAAGAAAATAAAAAGAAAGAGAAACGTGGAAAAAAAATTTAGCTTCGGACAATTTGGAGATAACTCGACATTGATGAAAACTATGGTAATATGAAAAAATAAAAAACCAAATAGAAAAAAAAATGAAGAGTAAACATAAAAAAAAAAAATGTTTCTCTAAACTCTCTGAAAAGTTTTTCTGGAGAGCTATCCAATTCTCCGGAGAGTTTGGAGAAACTCTCCACACTTTTATGTGGAGTTGTCCGTAACTCCGCACACTTTGTGTGGAGTATGCGGATTAACTCCGCATTTTTGTTGGAATACCGAGAAAAGTATTGTTTTAGTGTGATTTTGATGTTAATTTGGTGAATTCATTTTTGTTGGAATGTCAAACATTTAGTTTTGCTAATTTTATTGTGGATGTTTAAAAAAAATAAAATTGCTCCGCACTTCGTGGGAACAAAGTGAAGAGTTGCTCCCACAAAGTGCGGAGTTACTCCACACACTCCGCACAGAGTGTGCGGAGTTATGGACAACTCCGTATTGTGCGAAATTGATTAGCACTTTGGTCGCTCACAACAGTGAGGAGTTGCTCCGTATTGTACGGAGAGATCAAGTGGTCTCTTTGAACTGTGTAGAGAGATTTTTTTTTTGTTAAGCTGTTTTCTTGTTTGTTTCTTATGTAGAAATGTATACATATATATTATATGTCAAAGGTAAACTAAGAAAATAAAAGATCAAATAGTTTGAATTTAAGAAAACCAAAGAGAAAAAAAGAAGAAAGAGAAATGGGGAAAAAATGGTAGCTCAGTGCGTGCGGAGCATCCGAAGAGTTTGAAGATATCTCGACATTGGTGAAAAACTATGGTAATCTAAAAAAATAAAAAAAAAATCAAATAGATAAAACGAAAAAAAAACCAAAAAAAAAAAAAACAAAAAAAAAAAAAAAAAACCAAAAGCGGAGAGTTTGGAAAAACACCTCCAAACTCTGTGGAGAGTTTCTCTTCAAACTCTCCGCACAGTTCAGAGTGATCAATTGATTTCTTCGCACAATGTGGAGAGATTTTTATTATTTTTTTTTTTTGTTAAGCTATTTTTATTTGTTTCTTATGTAGGGATGTTTACATATATATTATATATCAAAGGTAAACTAAAAAAATAAAAAATTAAATAGTTTAAATTTAAGAAAACTAAAGAGAATAAAAAGAAAGATAAACGTGGAAAAAAAATCTAGCTCCGGAAAGTTTGGAGATAACTCAACATTGGTGAAAAAATATGGTAATATAAAAAAATAAAAAACCAAATAAAAAAAATGAAGAATAAACAAAAAAAGAAGTTTCTTAAAACTCTCTGCATTGTGCGAAGAGAGTTGATCTCTCCGCACAGGGCGGAGTTGTCTGTAACTCCACAAAATTCGCAACTCCGCACTTTGCTCTCTTCGCACACTTCGCACAGTGTGAAACAATTTTTTTTTTTTTTTTATAAGCATCCACAATAAAATTAGCAAAATTAAATTTTCGGTATTCCAACAAAAATGAATTCACCAAATTAACATTAAAGATCATACTAAAGCAATACTTTCTCGGTATTCCAACAAAAATGAATTTACCAAATTAACGTCAATTTACCCAACTAATATCAGTCAATACTTTTTGGGAAAATAATTAATTATACAACCTAAACAAGAAGGTGGAAACGAAAATATGTATTTTTTATACAATTTGGAATAAAATCTAAATCAATTCCATAAAAAAATACGAAGAAAACCTTACTAACTATTACAACCAGCAAAATTTTTTTTCGAGAAGAAAAAGGAGTAGAAAGAGATATTTAAATTCATACACCTTTTCAACTGCGTAAATCAATCAATTGAAATTATTGTACTTAAAAATAATTAGTATGATTGCCTGGTATGGTCGCTGAAAATAAAGAGCAAAAATCGGGATGGACGTGAGTTAAAGAAGGGAAAGAAAGAAGAAAAAAAGGGACTTCAACAGTGAAAAGTAAGAAAAATATATAGATAATTTTCTCTCTTGTATAGTAAATTGAGATTTATTTATTATTTTATCAACAGTGGTAACTCGTTGAACTTTTTAATAGAAGTGAGAAAATTCATTTGTGAGATTACTGCTAAACCTACGAGAAAAAAAAAAAGAAAAAAGATTATTTCTTCTAGTGCTTGGGATGCTTATTATTACTTGGGAATCTAGTCTTCGTCTCTGTTTCTTCACTTTCCCTTTCTCCTGAATTTTCTTGATGCTCTCTCTTTCTGTTGCATGGACAGAGGAATCCCGCTTGAGTAAAGTACCTATATTTTATTTTATATGAAATTTAATATGGTGAATTTCTCTTTCTAAATATCTAAAATTTTATTTTTTTCCCAAACTTATTACAGTACATGTTCTCCCAAAAACGGACTTTGTTTTGGATTTCTCTGAAAGCTCCGGTGTCAGTACTTGTTTTATTATAGGACAAAAGACATACATATATTTTATCTAGTAATATATATTTGGTGAACTCTGTTACTTTTTTTGGAAAAAATATTGAATTTTTGAAGATTTTGCCTGCAAAAGGAAAAAACAAAAGAAGGAAACGTCATTCTTTGGTTTTGAGACGATGAAGGTTTTGGTAACGTTCTTCTTTGCTTCAGTGGTAAAATTATGTTTATAGAGGTCATTAAATGGCAATGCAAATTGCGATTAGGATCGCAAAGTGATTTTAGCAAATAGTGTTTGGTTTTATGAATCTGGAGAATTTTAGGGAAAAGTTGAAACAATTTGGAGGATTTTCTGGACAGATTTTTGTTGGGTTTGTAAATTTTGCATATTTTTGGGCTGAGAGATTTGTTTAATTCTCTACAGTCTTTTTCCTGGTTGCTGGAGGAATCATTTCATTTATGTTTGACTGGAAGAGTACTTTGTTTATGCAGATGATGAATGATTTGCATTAGTTTCTTGGAGATATGGAGAATACGTTACAATCTATTATTTTTTTTTACCATTACTTGATTACTATTCAAAACATAAAATAAAATAATAATAAATAAATTATTTTTTTACCATGAATGTTAAAGACTTGGAGTTGTAGAATTGCACCAAGTACGGCAGCTTTGATTATTTTTTTACTATCTTTAAATTTGGAGAGATGGGTTGTTTTGCATCAAGAATTGATGAAGAAGAGAGGGTGAGAATTAGCAAGGAGAGGAAGATACTGATGAAAAAGTTGTTAAGATATCGAGAAGAATTTGCTAATGCTCAGTTGGCATACCTGAGATCGTTGAAAAATACTGGAGTTACTCTTAGGCAGTTTACTGAATCTGAGTCACTGGAACTTGAGGACCCCACTTCTGTCCCTGCATTGCCCCATTCCCCTCCGAGTCATTTGCCACCTTCTCCTCCACCTCTGCCTGCTTTCAGCCACGATTTGAGAGAGTTCAAGGATAAACAGCTGAAGGTTCAAGTTGCACAAGGAGAAATAATAGAAGTTGATGAGGAGAGTCGTCACACCCCACCATCACCTCCAGTTTCTAAGTCTCCATGGGAATATTGGTATCCCTTTGATTCTTCAATGGTTGAATGTGAAAAAAATTATGACAATGCGGAGCAGGTTGAGGAGGAAATTTGGGAAGACGCATATACTGAATTTGTGGAAGAAGATGATGAAGAGGATGTTGTTGCCACTGCCAATGTTGTCATGCATCCCAGGAAGCAGCAGACTGTTGAACTGGTTGATGAAAATTCGTCAGTTATGAGCTGTCATTCAAAGGATACAGCAGATAAGGCTATGGTAGTTTGGCGGAATAAGAAGACCTTGACTGGTATTGTTAAGGACTTGGATGACTACTTTGTGAAAGCAGCTGGTGGAGTGAAGGATATAAATGTTTTTGTAGATATCAGTATGGGCGACGTATTCCTTTTTCGTAGTGTAAAAGAAAACAAGCGTAATTCTTCTTCCCTACTAATTTAATAAAAAGTCACATTCATTTTACTTCATTCAGTGCTGTATATATTTGGTAAGGAATTAGATACTACCGGACAATATTAAAGAATAGATTGAAGCTATGATCTTTTTGATATTGTCTAGTCTCGTTTACTGTTGCGTACTGAACATGCACTTAATGTATAACAATGTATTGTACATTGTTCTCTATAGACATGCAATTCTTAAGACTCGAGACTACACTTACATGGTGGAGCCTAAAAACCTAAAAAAAGATTACACTTACCTTGGAAAGAGCATATTATTTAGTTCTATTTCTTTGAGTGGTCTCAGCAGAGACTCTGCTGTGGTCTTTCTTTCATCAATCATTTTTCTTTGTTGTCTTGTGTCTTCTATTCTTGCCTACCAACTTCAACCTTCTAGTTTAGCACATATTTTCTTCTTTAAATTTCAAGGGACCCTTGTGTAGTTGAGTTAGTAATTTTTCAACCTTGCCTATTGATTCTTTCAGAAAGAACAACAATCATTTCTACTAATTGACGAAACTGGATATTTGGCAAAATACAGAATTACCTGGCCTATGGATGACCGATGAAGGGCCAATCAAGATGGACATAGCAAATTCCTGAAATCTATTTCAGTGCAATGTATGATGTTGGTGGCCCATTATCATTATGGCACTGTTGTATTTTACCATTTGTGTGCTGTGTGCATGTGGCCTGGCATTAAAAAAGCTTCATCTTTCCTTCCCTGTGTAAGCATTTGTCGATGGTTTTCTTCTTTTGGTTGGGTGATGAGAGATTAAATGCTCCCCAAGGTTGTGTGTGTCACGGAGACATTTCATTATATCACTTTGATCAGTATTTCCTAGAATTTCAATAACTTCTTCCGACTTAAAATTTGGTCTAAATATCAACTGCTATAAGTCTTTGAAGCAATCCCAATACAATGGGAATTTATATCAGTGCATCGTGCATCCTCATTTTTTTACATTTCTTTATGTCTTGTACTTGCTAGTTTTGCCACTATTTGTTTATACCTATGTTCTTAAAAAATATTCCTGGATAAGTTTATATTGGGGTTTGAGTGAATTGGTCTAGTTGAAAATTGCATTATGGAGAGATGAGAAAAGATCTTTATTTGTGGTTGCTCATAACAGGCACATAAACATATTGTGCTTTTTAGAGGATCAGATTCTGTCCATGGTGCCAATATCTACCAAATTCCCCTGAAGACTAATCTGTATTCTGTTCTATCCTAATTATCCCAAGCTGAAGAATGCTGACTCAGTCTTATCTTGTGTGCTGGGGGAGGAGGGTAAGATTTGATAAGTGCAATAATCAATTGAAGCTAGACGCTAGTCAATTCTGCTCTCTTGTGTATTTTTTATTTTTTTATTATTTTTTTTTATTTTTATGGATCAATGTCATGTTTATTACTTGGTATTATGATTTCACTTTCCACTTTTAATTTTGTCGTCCAACCTGTTTTATTACATGTATGCACATGTATGTACACCTACACACGAATATGCTCAATGCTTATACTCTCAATAGACCAAACACTATAGCTGTAAACTTAAGTGGAGCTCACACTAAGTGCAACATTTCCAGGGAACAGAAGCAGTTCAGCAAAAGTCTTTAGCTCCCTGACATGGAGTTGGCATGCTAAATCATTTCGCTCTACGAGAGACACTGGAGAGGTCTATATCTCTGGTGAGCCGTGTAAGCCTGGAGCTCATTGTATCACCCTCCAAAAGCTTTATGTAGAGGAGCAGAAGCTCTACAAGGCAGTCAAGGTGATTATTGCTTTCTAATTATGTAAATGCTCTGTTATGTTAATTTAGATTGTATCTCTTATGCATGGTGACTGTTCAATGCTTGAGTATAAATTAACAAAAATAAGAGGCTATAATTTTTTGCATTAATATGTCCATTTAATGTTGACTCCGTCTTAAATTGGATCTTATATTAATCTAAAAATTAGGAGAAATATGATCTTTGAGTGAAGATAATTGGAGTAGGTTTGCACAGATAGTCTAGAGTTTGACAAAGTTAGAGATCATATCACGTTTCTTTTTGGTATTCTTTTGATAATAAATTTTTTCCTCCTGTAGAAATTTTATTGTTCTTTCTTTGACCTAAATTATGATATCTTGTAGGAGGAAGAGAATGCCAAGGTGGAGCACCATAGAAAATCTTCATCGCTAGATAAACAAGAGGACAAGCACGATATGGCTAAATATGGGAAAACTTGTTCAGCTGTTGAAAGTTTGCAATCTTACATCTTATCTCTGCAACAATCAATCAGTCAGTCTCACTCAACCATATTAAAGCTAATAAACGAGGAGTTCCACCCTCAGCTGATTGCACTAGCTTCTGGGTAAAGTCACTGAAATTATAAAATCCTACTTTCATTTAAGTCTTACACTATTTACATTGATAATTGATTGAATTGCTGAGATCAAAACCCTTGATAGCTCGAAATAAGTTTTAATGGATTTGTTCTTCATTGTTATCCCGTTTATAATAAGGAAGAGGAATTAAGGGAGGTTGGGCATTTGATTTCCACTTTAGATGAAGTTGATAGATAATTACATGAATCATTTTTTGCTATTTGGTTCAGTTCGTTGCTAGATACACTCGAAGATTTAAAGAAAGCTTTATACTTATCAGTTGTCAACTACATCTTGTCATGTTTGTTTGCTAGATACTATGATGTTCGGACTCAGGTATGGGTATCGGGTACGGGTACATTTCTAAATGTCGGATCTTTTATTTTCTAAAATATAGGATACGGGGACATGACTAAAAAGAATCCAAATTTCGGACATGGGTTCGTCAATACGATTTTCAAACTTCAATTTTTTTACTAATCCAAGATGTCATTTTGAATAGGGAAAAATCAATTATTCACAAAGAAGGAAATATCTATTGAATAAGGAGTTACGAATAAAATAGAATTTTGGGATTTAGTTTTTAATTCTAGGAATTACTAAATATTATTTAAATAAAAAATAAGGGTCTTGGTTGCAATTTGGACTTAGTGGAGAACTAAGTAGCACTATATGAAACTCATTTTTATTTTATACAAACAAAATCTTAAACTACCGATACAGAGAGGGAAAGAAGGAAAAAAAGAAGAAAATGAAAAGAAAAAAAGAAAGAAGAAGAAAAAGAAGGGAAAATCTAGCGCCGTTGCCTTTCTCCACCTATTGGCAGCGACACTTGGTGTATAAAGAGTAGAAGTGGGAAAGAAGAAATGGAAATGAAAAAAAGAAGGAAAGAAGAAGAAAGAAGAAGCAAGAATGACAAAGTGTCCGATTGAAATTTGGAGGATCCGACACATATTCCATTCCTATGTCGTATTGTGTTCGATAGGGTACTTCGACTATTTCGAAGAGTCTTAGTATCAGAGGGTAGATATACTCGAAGATGTAAAGAAAATTATATCTTTGACAACTACATCTTGTCATGTTAGATTTGGTTGAACGCTCCCTCCTCTGACTTTCTGTACTAAGCCTGCGTCACTCTTATTATTTGTAGCAACTTTAGGGTTCAATAAGCACAGGAGAAATTTTTATTTTTTTATTTTTTTGTGATAAATAATCAAGTAATTTTATTAATCAAAATGATAATACATGGGAGGTGTAAGAAACGACATGAAGTTAGGTAGCTTTTCTATATGATTGGTGGCCGTAGCATTAAACCAAGCATATAAAGTCATATAAAACAATTCTAAACACAGAAGAAATTAAAAGAATCAATTTGAATGGCTGTCATATAAGAAACCCCTATGCAATAGCTTTTATGGAGAATACCTCCATTATCTCAACTAGTATTGCCTAGATCTAATGATGATTTCAAAAAAGCGTGGTTTCCTATTGTGCCCTAAAATAACACTCTGGGTTTTTTTTTCCCCTTCCAGATTGATGCATTTGTGGCAAACTCTTTATGAGTGCCATCGAGCCCAAAATCATATATCTCTGCAGCTGAATCATTTAGCATATCAGCAAAATGCAGAATTTAGTAGTGAATACCATCGGCAGGTTGCAGCTCAGCTGAAAACAGAAGTGACTTCTTGGCACAACAGTTTCTGCAAACTCATAAAATATCAGCAAGAATATGTAAGAGCTCTCTGCAAATGGACTGAACTGGCCAACTGCCTTAGAGATATCGACAGACGTGGTAATTCATCAATGGTGCATGCTCATGCCCTTGCTGAAGAATGGCTGCTTGCACTTGATAAATTACCTGATAAGGTGCCTCTGTTTGTTTTCTTCAATTTCATTTTCCCTTGAAGATCTTCAAAATTTTCACTGGCTTAACAATTATAAGCTTCTCGAAATGAGAGTTTTACCGTCACTTTCTTCCTCTTCACCCCTTGAACCTCCTCATCTAAAAGTTTCTGTTAGCAAGGTGACATTTATTTATTGAAATTTTCTTCGAAGTTCTCTCTTACGTGTAGCGAGATTAATTTTTCAATCAAAAGGCCTAAGCAATTTTTTTATAAATGCGCACCGTGAGATTTGAACCAAGAACCTCTGCCTACTTAACCTCATCTGAAATCTTCAGACCTGGGAGAAGCGACAACTTTATTTATTTAAATTATCTTCAACATGGAGGAACTGGAACCATATGAGGTGACTCAAATAAGATCTGTAGATTGATAGTGATTCTACGTAATATGCCCCTGACAATGGAACCTTCTGCTTGCCGATTTCACTGGAAAATGGAGTTTGGATCTGTTATGGGAATGGAGTATAGTGTGTCTTCCCTATGTGCGTGATAGACGAACATTTGGAAATTTTGAACTTTTATAATTCCATCCCATAAGAAATTAATTCTGATGAATTATTTGTTGTGTATAATATTCTCATGACACAATAAATTGACACGAAAACTATTGTTCTCATCTTGTCTTCAGATGGTATTGGAGGCCATTAAGAGTCTATTATCAGCTGTTCACTCAATAATCTTGCAGCAGCAAGTGGAAATCAATCTGCGTAAAAGATCTGATAAGCTAGGAAGAAAATTGGAAAGCGAACTTACTTCTCTTTCAGAATTGGAAATGAAGTTTGAGGGCAGCCTCTCTACTACAGATGCAAATTCTGCCTTGACCTCGAAGAACCAGTTATCAATTAGGCGTGCTAAAGTCAAGGCCCTAAAGAGAATAGCAGATGAAGAGAGAGCCAAGTACTGTAAATCTGTCCAAACGACCCAAACAATGATTCTGAACAACCTTCGTACAAGCCTTCCCAACGTGTTTCAAGCTTTAATGGTGTATTCAAATGCTTATTCTCAGAGCTTTGAGGTCATTCTTGGAAGTGCCTCAATAGTGGGACATGACTACTTGCGACCTGCAACTTGATTTAAAGAGGTTAGTTTTTTGGTAAACATAAAACACAAAGTGGTTACTTGATGTATCCTTTGTTGTAGTTTGAAAATGGCGGAAAATGATTGTGTAGTTGGTGTGAAAATGTTCATGACTGTAGGCTTTTTTGCTAGAATGAAAACTTCAGTTTATCCATGTCGACTTTAATAGTTAGGTTCCGTTTGATCCACATTATTTGGAAAAAAATATATTTTTAAACATTGATTTGACATCATATTAACCACACATTCTTCAATAAAATAATATACACGTAAATTCAAAATTTTTCTTTATTTTTTAACCACTCATTTTCCATTAATACACTATTTAAAAATGCATTTTTTTTTTCAAAATAATGTGGCTCAAACAAGGGCTTAGTTCTCCAGGCATGCGCACTACAGCTAGGACATCCATTTTCTTCCCACTAGCTCATAGAAATGAACAGCCTTTTAGGATGGATTCTCAAACATCTTGACAGTTTAGAGTTCATTTAGTTGGGCTTTTAAAAAGTTAAAAGTAGTTTTCAAAGGTCAAAAGTCAAGTTTATTATAACTTCATTAGGAAGCTCTTCTACAAAAAGTAGAAGTTATTATTCTTATTTTCCAATAATAAAAGCTACTTATTATTATTTTTTTTTTTTTAAAAAAAAACTCTTATTTATCTTTAAGAGTAATTAGTCTATATTCAAAATTGATTATTTACTTAAAAGTAAACCAGAAACTTTTTAAGTTTACAATAATGCTTAGGATCTTTTTGATGGCCTCCTTGGCGTCGCATTACCAGGTTGAGGCAAGAGTTTCTATTGCCCAAATATAAAATATAAAAGGCTCGGGAGGGTGTTGCAGATGTTGGGAACGGACAAAACTTCTATGCTGACATTCAGGGGCAGATTTAGGGAGGGACTAGTTGGGCTGTAGTCCCCTCTCTACCAGGCCCAATTAATATATATTTTTTTGTGATTTGACATTATATTAATCACACATTGTTCAATAAAATAACATCACACGTAAATTCAAAATTTTTATTTATTTTTTAATCACTTATTTTCCATTAATACACTATTCAAAAATGCAATTTTTTTTCCAAAATAATATGGCTCAAACAAAGGCTTAGTTCTCCAGGCATGTGCACTACAACTAGAGCATCCATTTCCTTCCCACTAGCTCAGAGAAATGAACAGTTTAGAATTCATTTTGTAGGGCTTTTAAAAAGTTAAAAGTAGTTTTCAAAGGTCAAAAGTCAAGTTTATTATGGGCCCATTTGGCACGGCTTTTACTTTGGCTTTTACTTCTTGTAGAAGAATTTTTGAAAAAAGCTATTTTAATTTTTGTTTGAAAATTAATATTTAAAATCATTTCCCATTCCGGAAGTGCTTTTGGAGGAACTTCCTCTAAAAGCTCTTCTAACCTCCAAAAGCACTTTAAATAAAAATAGCCAAACGGTCCAAAAGTGACTTTTGGCTTTTCAAAAGCCATCCCAAACGGGCCCTATAACTTTATTAGGAAGCTCTTCTACAAAAAGTAGAAGTTACTATTCTTATTTTCAAATAATAAAAGCTACTTATTATTATTATTATTTAAAAAAAAAAACTCTTATTTATCTTTAAGAGTAATTAGTCTATATTCAAAATTGATTATTTACTTAGAAGTAAACCTGAAACTTTTTAAGTTTACAATAATGTTTAGGATCTTTTTGATGGCCTCCTTGGCGTCGCATTACCAGGCTGAGGCAATAGTTTCTATTGCCAAATATAAAATATAAAAGGCTTGGGAGAATGTTGCAGATGTTGGGAACGGACAAAATTCATATTTAAGGTGTATTCTTTACACCATTTCAAAAGTCAGGTAAGAAGTTTGAAAATTCAAAATTCAGGTTTGTATTTAATTAATTAAAATTATTTATTAAATAAATATATTAAAGTCACAGTTAAATAATTAATGGTCACAGATTTTACAAATTTATTTATCAATCACATATCATTAAAGTAATTGGTCACAGATTATTTCGAGATCACAAATCGAAAATTTTATAAGTCACAGATTTTTTTAATCACAAATTATCAAATTTTAAGGTCACAGACGAAATCGTTGAGGTCACATATTATTGTTTTAGTCACAGATCGTCAAATTTTAAGGTCACAAACCAAATCATTGAGGTCACAGATTATTGTTTTAGTCACAGATCGTCACGGATCGTCAAATTTTAAGGTCCCAGACCAAACTTTATGGTCACCCCTTCCATCGATCCCATCCAGCACCAATCTTGGTCACAACCACCACCAGCCAATCGTCGATTGCACTGTACCACCGCAACACCACAACTGATCTTGATCCAATTCCACCACAGCACACCAAAAAGAACCATTATCACCGTCTGAACCACGCCATCACCACCGCCAAATTCACCACCAACACCATCACCGTCAACAATACGGAGATCACCACACTGCACAACACCACAACCGCCATCCAGCAGAAAACCCCAAACCCAACACCCCCACCAACTCCACCACGTCGTCGCCACCAGATCCACTAGTTCACCACCATCACCGTTCGCCGCCATCACCAAGCCACACAACAACCACCACACCACACCACAACCACCACCAAACACACCACCCACGGGCCATGACATAACAAAAATCCCCAAACCCCCAAACACACCACCCACGTGTTTACCAGCAAAACTACAGATCCGCATGCGAGGCGTCGACGCTGGAGTTGCACGAAGCGCCGATTGCTCCTTCAATCGACATTTTGGCAATTGGCAACACAGTGCTTACACCCCGACACTACCAGCTGAGAATTACAGCAACCTCCACTGACAACCACCACCAACACACCCCGACGCCGCAAGCTGAAAACTACAGCAGCCTTCATCGAACAATACTACCACACCCCAAAGCTGCCAGTTGAAACCACAACCTCTATCGACCACCACCACAAGCAGCCTCCACCACTATCACACCCGATCCGCCACTGCGGCGACTGCACCAGAGAGGGGTGGTGATTGGCGATTAGATGGAATAAAGTTATAGAGAGAGAGAGAGAGAGAGAGAGAGAGAGAAGCGAGAGAACAAAAGGGATGAAAATACTAGGGTTTGGGAATTCAATTTCAATATTGAATATTTTATTATTATATCAATACCTGATATTTGAATTATGAATCTTGGTCCCTGATGTTTGAATTGTGATGTTCAAAGACCTGGAATTATGTAATTTTCCCAAACTTCTACGCTAACTTTGAGAGGACCAGACATTCAGGGACGGATTTAGGGAGGGGACTAGTTGGGTTGTAGACCCCCCTCTACCAGGCCCAATTGATATTTTTTTAGGGAAATTCCTCCCCCTCCCCTCTCCCCCCACTTACTTTTTTTTTCTTTTGTAAAAACGGATTTTTAATGTGTAAATTTTTTTTTTCACGTATTAGCCCGGCTTGAAATTTTTCAGCCCGATTTTGAATTCAATTCTGGATCAGTCCCTGACAAGAATATAATAAATCTTGGTCTGAATAACGTATTCTGACAAACTCGAGTACATATTAGATAAACTTTTTCACAGCGAAAATTTTCAATACAGCTGATGTACTGCCATAATTCAACATTTAAAAAAAAAGAAAAAAAAGGTTGAACTCCAACTTTGAAGGCCCCCACCGCCCCGCCCCTGGAGTATCGTGAGGGAGGTAAATCGTGGGATATACCCCAGCAGGCCAGGGAACAATAACTTGCTCGTACATTGGTGCTCACAAAGAGAGTACAATTTCATATCTCAATAATCGAACCCTCACACTACAATTGCCAGCAAGACTGAGACTACCTCACTCCTGTTCTTTGCACTATTGGGTTATGCCCCCGGGGACACCCTAATTCAACATTATTCCAATTTTCTGATGCATCTTCATAACCATTTTCTAGCTGTTAGAACTCATTCTGTGCCAACCTGGTCATCTCAGCAAGACCTGAAAGGAAACCATCAATATGGATCAGCTAAATAAATTCAAAACATGTTTTTATAATATTCTTTGTGGGACAGAAGCCAAAAACAAGAATGATTTTGATTCTATGACAATAAATCTCAAAAACTTGAAACCAAATGGTAAGAGCGAAAGCTGGGTGCCTATATAATAGTCATATTCATATCTAGTTTCTATTGAGAATTAGAACTCATAATCCTATACCATCTAGAGCAATAAAGTTGCTAAAAGAAAAGATACACAGGACACGTCAGATTCATAGAGCTTCGTCTAAATCTGAGATTACGTCTTTGTCCAACAATGCTTTAATTAACTATGATGAAAAGAAATTTACAAGAGAAAAATCTCACACTACTCTTTTTTTTTTTTTTTTTTTTTCTAAACTCTTTCTTTTTGATGATGATATATTAAATCTTAATGACAGATCCTATCTTTTGTAAAAATCAAAATTATAATTGTGAAATTCCTAAATTATCCTTTGGAGGTCAATATGTGTATGGAGTCTGCACAACTGCAATAATTACACTCCACAACTTAAAACACTTTTTGCCCAGCTTATATTTGTATGTGCGATAAGGCATAGTCTATAGCAAACCAACGTACAACGAATATCAGTAATTAGGGGAAGAAATGCAAGACGATATCGAATTATAATAATCAAGTAGTTTCACATAGAAAATTTAAATATCACCTTCAATGTTTCTGTGGCGAGCTGACCACCAATTATCTCTTGAAACCCGGAATGATCTAGAGTTTCATTGATCATATTGTCAAGTCTCCTCCAAAACTTTCGACGAAGTTATTATTGCATACTTTGTTTTGTTGAAGATATTATTCCCATCTTCAAACTCTAATACTTGAAGATCCTTTTATTAAAGCAGCAAAATTGGCAGCAAGAACAAACTGTGTAGCGGCTTGTTCTCGTCTTCGTTCTTTCTTAATACTTAACTGCACAATTACTGAGCATTTGCTGCCTCATAGTTTTGTTGGTAATTGGTATTAACAGTCTTAGAAAAAACCAAATTAATGACAGAAAATTAAAGAACACCAAGAGCTTTTTACCCTAAGGCCCGGATGTATCACCACACTAAGCATTCACTAAAGCGGTTTTCGCTCTAATCCACTAAAAACCAGCAAAAAATTATAAGGACAAGAATCAAAATTCAAAGATCCAAAGGATCTAGCCCTCAGACTCAGTTTTTCTTTCAAGAATATACTCAACAGATTACATCAAGTAACAAAAGGTTATTTGCTCACTCAAGAACAGAATCACCCTTTTCACAAAGTAATCTACATTAGACTTCACCAAGAAGATCTAAAAACCAAAGATTACAGACGAAAAATCAAAAGTTTTTTCAGAGAAAAAACACAGAAAACAAATGAGAGGAAAACCTAGCACCATCTCACATATATGAGCAAATGAGGAGTCAAGACATATAATACAAAGGATTAGAATGCATTCAACGGTTGCACTAGCTCCAAGTGGCATCATCTCAACCTTTACCAAAGTCGCACTTCAGCAACATGCGAGAATGCTCAAATGGGAGGCAGTCAATTCACATTCTATCATTGGCTCAAGTATTGGATTCCATCACTGGGCCTAAAGTGTTAAACATAATATTTAACAAGTTTAAACCCTTCTATAGAAAGTACCTCTGTAGAAGATGGTTTTGCTGAATTTTTGTGAGGGCCCAGCAGCTTAATATGGATCTGGACATGTGTTTTGTATTCTGGCCCAAATTGGTTGTAGCCCAATATTGTAACCCAGTAAGTGAAAGAATCTGGAATGAAAGAAACCGGGTTTAACAAAATGCGTTTGTTGACTTAAAGGGCCACTTTCACAATATTATTGACGAGTGGCAAGGCATGGACCATTGGATCAAATGCAAGTCTCTCTATCTAATAAAAGAAAAGATATTAAGGGTGTTCACACGTGAATTTCATTTCCAGTAGCTTCTCTCTCGTTTGGTTTTTCATCTTCTCTAAAACTCTTAAACTTCTATGATTTTCTTGTGATTTCATGAGAGAATATTCTTGTGATGAACTCTTGTGTGAGTTTTGGTTTATTGTGAGAAGATCTTGTATTTTGAGAGAGTTAGAACTAAATGTTTTGTAACGAAACTTTTGCCTATTTTTGTGGCGATTTATAGTGGATTCGAGTTTAATCCTAATGGATGCTCAATGGGGATTAGGTGTTGGAAGCAATCGCCGAACCTCGGGGCCTTTGGGCCAAAAAATCTTGTGTCCTGATCTTGTTATTTTCTGATTTTAACTGTGTTTGATTTACGAGTTAAAGGTACAAACATATTTTTGGGACCAACAGTGGTATCAGAGCTGTGGAAATTATTTGATTCAAGTGTGGTTGAGTTTTTGTGTTTGAAAAATACTACAGATCTGAGTAGATCTATTCTTTTGCCATGTTGATTTTTTTGTTGAAATTTTTTTTATTCTAGTTGTTTGAAAAAAATTACAGATCCGAGCATATCTGTCCTTTTGCCTTCCTGTTAAATAAAAAAACAGTTTCTAAACACGAGTTGATTTTTTGGTGTTTTTTGAGTATCTTGTTGAAATATTTGCAGTTCTTGTAAGATTTTGGTAACAAAACTTTTTTTAATAAAAAAAATTAGGGTTTCTGTGAATCTCTCCTAAATCTGCCTCTATCTAGGGATCCCTGAGAGAACCCTAGAATTTTAGGAGATTAGGGCCTCGATTCAAGAAACTTATCTCTCAATTTTTTTTGAAATACGTTTTCTGTTATTGTGTGAATATTATTTTTCTATAGATCAAAATTTTTGTTTTTGAGCTGTTGTATATATTCTTGATTTGTACTGATACTCTAACTTGATTTATTTAGTGGGGTTGAAATTATCGTTGTGTGAAATTGTTCTTCAGTGAAGGTAGACATTGTATTATCCCCTACAGTTTACTGTGTGTAAACATAACTGTTAAATAGCTCCATTTTGCCCGTTTCCTTGTGTATATATATATATATATATATATATATATCGTGAAATTGGAATAATTTGACATTGATCACTGTGATATATTGTTGACTGAATTATTACTGTGATATATTTGGTTATATCATACTTGCGAGCATTTTCACACTACTGCACACCATGACTCTAAGGTAGATGTCCAAGTTTGGGATGGCAAATGAGACTTTAGTCTCTGGCGCCAGAAAATTAAAGCCCTCATATTATAGTTGAAATGTGCTAAGGCCATTGATGAGTCTTGGCCAAAAACCCTAGCTGAAAATAGGAAAACTGAACAAGATGAATTAGCCTGGGGTGCAATGTTCCTTCACTTATCTGATTCTGTAATTAGAAAAGTAGGAGAAACCAAAACGGCTATAGAATTGTGGATTGCCTTAGAAAAACACTATCTTACTAAGACTGTACCAAATAAATATTTTCTTTGGAGACAGTTTTTCAGTTTTAAATTTGATCTTAACCTTGACACAGAAGATAGTATGGATAGATCCAATAGGATCACACAAGACTTAATAAATTGTGGTGAGAAATTTTCTGATGAACAGAAGGTAGTTGGTCTGCTTAATGCTGTAGGAGATAAATATAAAGACATAAGAAATGCTCTAGAGTATGGTAAAAGTGACCTAACTGCTGAAATAATTCACAGTTCTCTATTGACCAGAGAATTGTAACTGAAATTTGAACACAAAGAGGTGTTTCATGTTGAGGGTGTGTCATCAAATCAAAAACCACATATGAAAAGTGTGAGTAACTTCAGTCATTTCAATTTTAACAAGAATAATAATTTTATCAAAAAGAAATGGAGTAACACCAAAGGAAAAGACAATAAACCAAATAAAGGAAAGGTAAACAATAACAATAACAGAAAATGCTTTCATTGTGGAAGAATAGGGCACTTTATTAAAGATTCTTTTAAAAAGGCTAATGACCAAAAGAATGGGTCTAATACTAAAAATGCTTCTTTAGGCATTGCTGCTAATTACAAAGAAGCAGGAGCCAACATTGGAGTTGCCTATGTGTCTCTATTGGAAAGTACTGATCAGGACTGGGTCCTAATTTCAGGTTGTTCTTTTCATATAACACCCAATATTGGCTGCCTTTCTGACTATTCTAGTCTTGATGGAGGATTTGTAAAACTTGGGAATGATGAGTCATGTCAAGTGAAAGGAATTGGCAATGTGTTGCTGAAATTTAAAAATGGACATCACATGCTGTTAAAACACACTAGATATGTGCCAGCACTTAAAAGAAACCTCATATCCCTCGGAGTTCTTGATGATGAAAATTACCAAATTGGAATTAAGAATGGTTCTACAAATATAACAAGAAATTAGGAATTTATTTTCAGCTCACCTAAGCTCAATGGAATTTATGTAATAGGTGCTGAAATCATTTTACCTAATAATGCTGTGAATTTTGTCACACATCCTGATAAATCAGAATTATGGTATAAAAGGCTTGGCCATTTAAGTGAAAAAAGTTTAAAAACTCTATCATATCAAGTAACATTTGGGAATAATAGTGTTTAAAAATTAACTTTTTGTGAACATTGTATAATGGGAAAACAAGTCAGACTGCCCTTTAAGGCAAGGCTGCATAAGTTCCAAAAATGTCCTTGAATACATACATTCTGATTTATGGAGACCTGCAACTGTTCCTACTATATCTAGTTATAGATATTATCTTCTTACCACTGATGATTACTTAAGGAAAATATGGATTTTCTTATTAAAATCAAGTCTGAAACTTTTGTAACTTTTAAAGATTGGAATGTATTAATTGAAAATCAGACTGGTAAGAAGATAAAAATCTTAAGAATTGACAATGTGCTTGAATTCTGTAATTCAGAATTTGATCAATATTGTAATAAACAAGGGATTATGAAACATAAAACAGTGAGCTATACTCCTCAGCAAAACGGGGTTGCTGAGAGGTTAAATAGAACCACTCTTGAGAGGACAAGATGTATGTTGATCAGTTTTGACCTTCTAAAAATCTTTTTGGGTAAGGCAGTAAAAACTGCCTATTATCTAGTAAATAAATGTCCTTCCAGCTCCCTAAACAATAAAATTCCTGATGGTCAGGTACATTACCAGACTACTCATATCTTAGAACTTTTGGATGTGCTGCATATGCACATAACACAAAATCAAAATTGGACCTTAGATCATTGAAGAGTGTGTTCTTAGGATATGAAGAAGGAGTTAATGGCTATAGACTGTGATTAAGAGATGTGAAAGGATATAAGGTGATAATAAGTAGATCTGTTATCTTTAATTAAGATGATTTTCCTTGTCTTAGTGACAAATCTGGAGAAAAATTAGGAAATGATGAGTTTATTATCACTGAAATAAATCTGAATAGAGAGATTTTAAATGACCGACTTAGTTTGAGGTGGAGCCATATCAGGTAGAACCACAGATCATTATAGATGATGAAATTCATGAAGAGGATCAGCATCTGGAGCCTGCAAATGACCTGCAGAACTACCAGCTTGCTAGGGACAGAGAAAGGAGGCAAATAAGACTTCCTTCCAAGTATCAGAATGCTGATTTTGTATCTGCTCAGTCTGAACCTGGTCTGTTTGACATAGAATCCACCTCTTATGAAGAGGCTATTTCTTCCAAAGAATCCCCTAAGTGGATTGCTGCAATAGAAGATGAGATGAACTCCCTACATAAGAATAAAACCTGGATCTTAGTTGAGAAATCCAAAGATTGTAAATTGATTGATTGTAAATGGGTATATAAGATTAAAGAAGCTGAGATTAAGACAAATAATAAAAGGTATAAGGCAATACTTATAGCTAAAGGCTTCAATCAAAGAGAAGGTATAGACTACACTGAAATTTTTTCACCAGTAGTTAAATATGCATTTATTAGAGTCCTACTTGCTATAGTGACACATTTTGACTCAGAACAACTTGACGTGAAAACTGCCTTCTTCTATGGTTATATAGATGAAATCATACATATGATTCAACCTAGAGGGTTTGAAGTAAAAGGAAAGGGGAAACTAGTATGTCTTTTGAAAAAATCCTTGTATGGCCTAAAACAGGCCCCTATGCAGTGGTATAAAAGATTTGACTCTTTTATACAAGGTTTGGATTTTAAGAAATCAGAATATGATCCCTATTTTTACTATAAAAGAGATGGTGAATCTGATTTTTTTTTTAATTTTCTCTTGTATGTTGATGATATGTTCCTTTCTGGTCATAATTCTGTTGTTCTTAACTCAATTAAAGACAGTTGAAATCAGAATTTGAAATAAAAGATTTAGGACCAACTAGAAAAATTTTAGGCATGGAAATAAGAAGGGATAGAATAAATGGAAAGTTGTTTCTAACATAAAAATCTTATGTTGATAAGGTAGTGAAAAGATTTTCCCTTCATGATGCTAAGCCTGTTAGTCTGACAGTATGAA